AACATCACGGCTTCTGGTAGGTGTGTTCCTAGGGTCAGTTGGCAGGCACTTGCAACCAGCTTGCGTGAGTAGGTTAGCTCTCTGTGCGTGTACGCGTGGGCGCGCTTACTTTGGCTGGGATGTGACGTGCTGGCTGTGATGTGTCATTGTTGAGATTCCTGCCTAGTTTCTGGTCTCTATGCTTACTAGTGTATGCAGTAAGTACAAGCCAGATGGACGGGGTGGTTATTCGTCAAAATGATCAATCGCATAAAGCAGGCTGTGTTTGCTACCTTCATCCTCACTACGACCTACACCGGTAAATCAGCCTGTTGGGTCTGTTCAAGTTGGTCTCTCTTTGAGCGGAAGTGTCCCGCAAAAAGCATTTTTATTGTTGATCGCCATGAGGATACAGCAGAATCAACCTTGCGGTGCTGGAACTGTTGTCTCCTGTAGAACTAACGGATATCACTATACAAACAAAAACCAAATACCCGTCTTTTGTGTATCTATATCGTCGGAAAATCGTATGGTCAAAAACTGGATGCACAATCGTCCTCAGCCTGTTTATCCAAGTATATGGACACCTGTTGAGGTTGACACAGCGGGGAGTTGGTCCTGTGTAAACCCGGTCCGTGTTTTGTGTAGAAAATTTTTATCTGCGAGCACAACTGTCTTTCTGCTTGCCAAATGAAAAAACTCGGGAAAAATGCTGTCTGTTTGTGATTCATAAGAAACAAGACTGCACAGATGTTTGGAAGGAGGAAGTTGACGTGAGACTACTACGTAATCTCAAGCTTTATCTCTTACCTCTCTCGCCAAGATTTCGCCGTTGGTGCACCGTACGCAACAGGTGGTGGAATGGTTTTCGTGTACCATGGATCGCGGACGGGAAGAATCGGTCTTCCTGCTCAGGTAAGCGACGATATTTGGGAAATTCATTCGGTTTATCGTTTACGTCGTAACGGTTAGGGATGATAGAAATGTCCAAAAGCTCTTCTGTACGTTGAATAATTGCGATTTAGATACACTGGGCAGGATTTACAAGCAATATACTTTTTCTGTGTTTGGGTTGACTTCGAATTGCTCCTGGTTTTAACCTTAAAACCTCACCTTGATTGCTCATAATTGATCTTCATTGAACCAGTGATGACAGTTTAGTTATACTTTATATCACTTCGATGCAACTGGCCAATTCAAGAATGTCGGGGTGTGGGTAGACTGATTAGGCCAAGGCTAACAACGATTTGAACGCGTATGTTTTTGTTATTCTGATATGAGGCAAAGCCGCGTAGACCAGTGTACTGGACGCATGGTTTACACCCTTTAATCGACCAAACAGCCAAATAAGCCGCGAACTGCTGGACATTTGGGAAGGCAAGCTTGCTTAATTAATCCAACCAGTTACTTCGCCCCAAGACAGAAAACCAGCCGACCAAATACGAAGCTTAATCGATACTGTTATTGACCTTTGGTCTAAGTGGATTTGCCCTCCATACACAACCTACTCACGCTCACTCCAAACGGGCTGTGTGATGATCATGAAGTCCCAACTGTATATTTTCCACTGGTTCAATTTTGTGACCAGGATCAACGTAAATCGTACCTTTCGGGGGCGAGATGGCCAAGTGGTTAGAGCGCGAAATTACTGACAGTAAGGTTAGTGGTTCGAATTCGACGTGTGCCTCTCAACTTCCTCTGTATAATCTGGGCAACCTTGCAGTATCCCAGTCCTTGTGCTTCCTTCTGTTAGAATGGCAGTTAGACACCGAATGGGTGCTGAACGAGATAAAGATACATCGTACCTTCCTCCAGTTAAAAGGAAGATGAGGTAGTCCCGAGGATTGTAACTCCTAATTTTGCACCTCTATTTGACACTACTGGGTTTCTGATCTCACGTGTCGCTCACTTGATCGGCTATCCAAGGACTACCATCGCACTTCCCTAAAATGGAGTCACCGTCCTCAACAGTGTGGTTAGTTATTCATATAAAATCCAACAACATATTTCAACCACAGTATCAATCGTACTGGTGATACGGGCGTACTATTCTCAGAAGACTTAAGGCGGATGAAAGATGTATCTCTGCTGAAAATTTTACGGATGACAAATGAAAAGATTTGTTCTAAATGGTCTGAACCAATTGGTGACAACTGGTGTGTCGACCCCCAGAAGCCGAATGATATTAAATCCACAGAGACGTTTGTCTGTGTATAATCGTAAGATAGGTAGCCTGTTACAAGCCTAGTCCGTGGCATGAGGTTGCACATCTACAATTCTTGATCTATTAGGAACTTCGCAGTTTTAGCATGCGAAAATGGTTTGTTCGAAGCAGTGGGTGCTGCTGCTGTTGTCTCAACACAACAACACATCTTCAGATTTTCGCGGCGGATCGGACTAGGATGTGATTAAAATCGTAGGTTTCTTCAATTGTCAGCCACTTAACATTACAGACGCAGCTCACTTCATGGCAGTGATGCACCGACGCACAACTCATCAGCAATACACCGGCCAATTCGTGCCGAATAGTTCATGGCAGAATAGCCAGTCTCAGCTAACAGTCGAATGAAAATTACAGTGGAATTTCATCTGTCACTCCTTAGTGACGTTGGTTGATGTCTAGAGATACTGTGGTAGTCAGTTGTTTGGATTGCCTGTACCTTTGGCCCCTCGGAACGCCAAACATAAGACTGCATATAAAGGGCGATAAATTACACTGGGCATAAAATGTTCTCATTACACTAGGCAAAGAACGAGTCAAAGACCCCTTATGATACTTCAGACATATGACTCCACCCAAATTATGTGGCACCTGTTTAACCATCTACAAAATATCCTCTTTCCCAGGGAATTCAGAAGGAAACTAGATTTCATGGTGGTCAAAATCGCTAGAAGCTCCAGATATACCCTCGCTGAGGGTGCTGAGCATTTCCTACCCCTAGATGCTAGGATCAAGTCGATGTATTTTCTTGAGTTCAACTCTGCCCATTAGTAGTAGTTAATTCCGAGTTAAAGTGTTAAACTAATATTCGCGGGACCTTTCCAGCTAGTCCTCCTGTTCCAGATTTCACAATTCAGTATTCTCCATGAGAGACAATAACAATAAGCTGGGACGGAACCCAGCTTTGATCGGGTCATGAGTAATGGACAATTTCACTATGATGTTCTGCTGGGGCATTGCAGCATATCAAGAGCCACGTGTATATTGACAAGTAAGAAAAAGGGCGTGAATCAAAAACATTTCGAGGATAAAATCCTCAATGAATGACACTTTGTAGTCAAAAACGTTTCCTCCATTTATCCTGTTCATCGGGATGATTCCGCAACGAGTGATTTGTATAGGAACTTTCGAGTGGCAAAACAATATCTGCCTAAGTTTCGTCGTCGCGGAGTAATTTAGAGCTATTGGCCAAAAAAAATAAGAAAAAGCCGTTATGTCAAGTCGCTATTCGTTGAGTTGCCTATGAGACCTGACTTCTTTCTCATTGAACAGCATTTGGTCCCTGATACAGGACATATCAGTGGTTGAAACCATTGTCAGATATGGCGCAGTCGCGCCCGCAGTGGTGCTCGTGCACTCAAGCTTTTGCATTCAATGCCTAGCTACCTTCCAACCCCCCCCCCCCCCCC